TTTATTTATTTTTAAAAAATAAGAAATAATTTAAGATAAATTTAAAATAAAAAATAAAAAATATTTTAAAACTAAAAAATAATTGATTTTATTCCATAATTCGTTTATACTCTTCATGTAACCAATTAAAAAACTTGTATTGATTTTTGTGTCCAAATTTCCAAAATCTTGAGCTTAGCGACATATATATATATACAAAAAAAAGTGTGTTACAGTCCGGACTGTACCGGACTGTAACATCACAACCATCAAAAAGGGGCCCTGCCCTGCCCTCCCCTTTTCTATGATCCTGATGTTACAGTCCGGTACAGTCCGGACTGTAACACAGGATTCTCTTATATATAATACCTTACGGTGTGTTAGTAGTTGATACAAGGTCAGTTAGAAATGATTTTATATTTTGTGTTTGTATTTTATATTGAATTAATTGGTTGATACATGTATTACAATAAGATATTGTAACAAGATATACATGTAGTAGTTGATACATGCTCAGTTACAAAATGATTTTATATTTTAAGTTTGTATTTTATAATAAATTAATTGGTTTATACATCTATTACAATAAAATATTGTAACAAGATATACATAAATTATAGTACCAACAAACTAACATATTACGTAAGTATAAAAAATCTTAGAATATAAAAATTTAAGTATTGCTCTCTCTCTTCTTTTCCTTTTTCTCTCCCTTCTCTCTTGATTCTGCCTCCCTTCTTCGGCGTTTCGTTTGTTTTGATTAGAAGCCTTTGAGCTTCCGAGGTTTTGATGCTTGAGTTGTTGGGCTCCCCGGCCGCTCAAGCATGTTGGAGTCGATTTGTGCTCCCTCCTTCGATGACCCTTTAGGGTCTGTCGGTTTCTGGGTCCCTTTCCGGTGACCCCTTTTGGTTTTTTGTTTTCTAGATGTTTTATTTTGTTTTGTTTTATGTTCTTGTACAGTTTGTTTTTTTAGATTCGGCGACCCTTGGCTCTTTCATATTGATCTTGGTAGGGGCTCGTTGGTTTTTTCTTTTGTTCTGTCTGGTGCAGATCCGGCGGCCTTCTTTCTCCTCCGGTGAATCTGAGACGACGCACGCGAGGGCATCCAGATCTGACGCCCACCGCGACTCTCCTGCTGGTTCTGAGGGACTTCCGCCGCCAGATCGAGTGATCGCCCAGCATCTTGGAGTCTGGTGCTATTTCTTCAAGGGTAGATAGAAGGGTGTCTCGTATGGATCGGTCGACCAAAGACCGTGG